TGGGATATCTGAAGCTTGTCAATCGGTAGAATTTAGAGTAGCCAACTCGCGATTCACAATAAGTTCTTGTTCTTATTTTGATGGAACTTTTCTGATAAATGAAAATTATTTGGTAGTACATCGTTTTAATGAATTTCTTTAGTTCGTGAACTGCGTTTAACTGTTGATGTATTCATAATATCTTCATTATACAATTAGTGTTATGTTGAATAAGAACACCATCGATTTATTAGAATGGAAAAACCAAAGGATAATGAGTAGCTTTTTCATCACAGCACACAACTCATCAGCAAAACTCTCCCACAATTCTGTACTGGATATTTAGATATTTCAGAGTACACAAAATTCAGTCACGAAGATATATTTTCAGATGGTGGAGATTTGTAGTTTACGTTAGTGATTTTGATAAAGTTTTTTTCTCTGAAGTACCTGAAGTTTGAAGACGTTCAGAAGAACTCTGAAAAGCTTTACGACTAAACCATCCAGCTCAGAGAACAAAACTTTATCAAGATATATTTTCATTACTCCAGTAGATGTTGGGTAAAATCATCTTAATTCTAACTGTGGAAATATCTCAGACTATATCGTTAAATGATTTTTTTCTTGATAATTTTCAAAATCTTCAATATAATCTTGTTTTGACAGTTCTATACTTGGTATTAATCAATCATGAAGATAAGTGTAAATTTTTAAAAAAAACTTCTCTCCTTGCTTATGAATGATTATAAGCTTTTCTACATCACTTCAATTTGTTTGTTGATCTACATTTTCTGTCAATTGTTGTTATTATCATTGTGTTTACTAATTCATTTTCTATAAATCTTTTATTACGATAACTTTTTCAATGATTGGATTATTTATCTCTGAAGAAGAAGAAGTGACTTACGCTGAGTCCCGAAATGTCAGAAAATTTAATTTTTCTACTGACTGAGATATTACAAATATATTAATTTATTTTTCAATGATTATTTAGTTGTGTTTATTTTTTCGTCGATATAACCACTTACTACTTATAAATGTCTAACGTATAGCGTTATTTTAACTAAATTCCAGTGAGAATTTATTGTTTAATGTTGGTTTATAACTAAAAAGTTTTATTTTAGAATAAAACTGTTTAGTAACTAAGTGAATAATGTGTTAATTATTTCAAAGATGTGTTAAATTTTCTCAATGTGTATACATAAAGAGATAAAGATTAGTAAAGATAATTTATTAATTAAAAGAAATCCACACACCAGATATTGAACCACATTCATTGTCTATCTATGAGATATTTGGCTCATGAAACAAACGTTGTTGAAGTGGGACTTAAACTTGTAATCCTATAAATGAATACTGACACTTCACTTTCTTCCTAAAACTTATTCCTATGTATATAAGATAGTTATTTATTTTTCTGAAGTTAAAACTTAATTTTCATAGTAATTTTAGTTTTATCCAGTTTAATGTGATACAAATCTTCAAATTACCATAATTTTAAGCATTTGAATTGGCTATTTATATTGGAGAAATAACCATTATAATTATAAAAATAATCAGGATGTATGTTTGTTATCAGTAATTGCAAGAGAAGTACCACCAACCAGTATTCTTTGACAATTTTCAAGAACAATATACAAATAGTGGATTGTTCTTCCTTTGTTCTGGTTAGATAGTTACCAGATATTTTTTACTGATATTACCATATCCTGCGAAAGCTCATAGAAACTAAAGGTCACCTCTAGTTCTATAAATACTTTTCTCCCCCAAATGCCCTGGTATGGCCCTCTCTCTCTGCCTTCTCGTGGCGGGGGTGTTGTTTACGAAAATGAAAGGACGAAAAGCGAATGTCCGGCGCTTTAACCGGATCCCAAACCAATGGTGCATATGGGCTCCAGTATCCTGAGGGAACAAATTGAGTATGAACCAATTGTTGGTCAACGGCTACCATGGGATTGCGTCTCCTGACGTTGCTCCACTGCCTTGTGGGTGGGGTGTAGCCCCCTAAGAAAACCACCTGCTTCGGTCTGGGCACCCGGACAGTATCACAGCCCACACACAAATAAAATGAAAATGACGATACCTACTGAAAATTCTATTCACGTTTCGACTAACAGTCAAGCAATTCACATTATTATTATTATTATTATTATTATTATTATTATTATTATTATTATTATTATTTACCACGTCACTTATTCACTCTCTTTTATTCCCACTTTATGTATCCTTATTTTGGACTTATACAGAAGCTTGCCTATGGTGGAAAATCGACTCTATCTAAACGTTCTTAAGTCACTGCCTGGTTGAAAACTGTATGCTACCACCAAATACGAATACTGAAGCAGTTTTTCTGAAACCACGTGCACCATTCAAACTGGCTGCCTTCAACGTTTGCACACTTATGCAGGTTGGACAACAGATAGGGCTGGCTATGTCTTTGGAAAGTCTTAATATTGATGTTTGTTGTCTATCCGAGACCCGTATTCAAGACTCTAGCGAAGTACTACAAATTCGCTCTACATCTGTCACTTCAAAAAGCTTGTTTTACGTGCGTTTATCCGGGGACATTGTGGCATCTTTGTCTGGTCTTGCTGGCGTTGGTGTTGCACTAAGCGCTAGAGCTGAGGCATCACTAATCGATTGGATCCCCATTAACAGTCGGTTATGTGCTGTTAGATTAGAAAGTTCCATCAAAGTGAGAAGAAATCGGCATGAGAAACGGTGTCTTTCCGTCATCTCCGCCTATGCCCCGACAGATTGCAGCCCGGATGCAATCAAGGATGAATTCTATCACCAGTCAACTGTTCTCCAGAAAGTGCGTTCGACAAATATTGTAGTACTAGCCGGAGACTTGAATGCTCAGGTCGGGCGTCTAGGCACAGAAGAGAGTCGTTTAGGTGGCCGATGGGGACTTGTTAGTCGCAGGACAGATGACGGGGACAGTCTACTGCAACTGTGCACAGACCACAACCTGTTTCTGGCTAGTACTAACTTTCGGCACAGTCATCGCCGATGTCCCACCTGGCGTCCTCCCTCTGCATCTTAAGCCTGGTTTCAGATTGATCACATCGCAATCAGCTACCTCTGGAGTGGTTGTGTACAAGACTGTCACTCCCTTTGGAGTACCTATCTGTACTCTGATTATGCCCTGGTCTGCGCCAATCTTACCTTACTTTTCAGTGGCCAACGAAGTGATCGTCACCAAAGGATTTATGTCAGCGAATTGGTTGCAACTTCGGTTGCAAGCAAGTATAGAACCGAGCTAGCTTCTAGGCTAGCTATCATTCCACCGAAAAGTATAGATGACAATTGGTTGCAGTTGCATGACACCATCAAAATGGCGAATAAAGCCGCTTGCGGCTTCGCGAAACGTCGGAGCGTGCTAATGAGCTGGAAACAGCAGCTGCATCTGGTAACTACCGTAAGTTCTTCCAACTCATCCGAGCCACTGGCAGCAAGAAATCTGGTGTGAGCGAAACAATCTGCGAGGATGACAGGATGCCAATCGTTAACATCCATCGATGTCTTGGACGATGGGCAGAATTCTTCGAAGGGCAGTTCAACTGGCCTGCTGCTCCGGGGACATCGGTCAAACTGTCCTGTCCTCCATGGCCGGTGACGACTGATCCACCAAATGAGGCTGAAGTCCTCAAGGAACTCCAAATCTTGAAGCGTTACAAATCACCGGGCCCAGATGACTTACCTCCGGCTCTTTTTAAAGATGGCGGTGACTTTCTGACTCAGGAACTGACGACGTTGTTTACAAAAGTCTGGGAACTAGAGAGTGTTCCAACGTCATGGATGAGTCGATAGTTGTCCCTATCTTTAAAAAGGGTTCACGTCGTTCCTGTAACAACTATCGGGGATAAGTCTACTTCCGATTGCGTCCAAGCTATCAGCTTCCGTCATACTTCGTAGGTTGTTCAAAACCCGAGAAAGATTGACTCGCGAGGAGCAGGCTGGGTTTCATTCTGGTCGAGGATGTATTGATCATATCTTCACCCTCCGCCAAATATTAGAACACCGCCATACTTATCAAAGGCCAACAGTCGTAGTGTTTCTTGACATCAGGGCTGCCTTCGATTCGTTGGCAGGACTGTTCTCTGGGATTGTCTACCGTACACTAATCTGTGGTCATTATTGTTCTTTTTTTCTCCTTATACACACCCTACCTTCTTTTTTCTCTTCCCATTCTCATTATTTTGTGTGGCGCATATATATATATATATATATATATATATATATATATATATATATGGTGCCCCCTTGTACCAATATTTATGTGTTCAAATAAATAACTAAATGTAATAAACTGTACATAATCTAACATTTGAAGTGGCATTTTTTCTATTGCTCAAGTTTTATTTCCTATTTGCGGTAAAGGGTTAAAACATCCGAAAACTAGAAAATATCTAGGAATACTGTGTCTAAAACGTTTAGCGTACAAGACTTATCAGTGTTTCGCGCATAAATCGGTTATCATGTATTGATTATTTTCATTTTCTGCCTCATAAGTGATATTTGCCTACTAAGTTATGCAACTGAGAGTTTTGATGCGATATGTTTTCATTTTTAGTGACTGATAACAATTGATATTACTATTTATAACTATATTAAGCGGGTGTATGATGAGGTTAAAGTTTCTCTACTCTATTGTTTGACTTATCATGCTACATCGTTTAAATAAATCCTATAGTGATATGGTACAAAACATACGTAAAGATTTATATTGTTGATGAGTGAGCATAGACGAAATGTTACCTTTGGATATTGCTGTTGCTTAATAAACCATAAGATATTTAGGGTTGGTGATTGTATTCATTATCCATACAACTCATCATTAAATTAAACTGTAATAATTGTAGCTCTTTAACTTGTTTAAACTATTTAAAATAAATCATTCCAGCTTCTTGTAATGTCTACTAATATCTACTAAATTGTTGTGTTTGTTATGTATAGAGTTTTCTTGAAAATTACTTTGGAATTTTTCTCCATTTTCTGTTATCTTTCATTGTTAGTCTACTTTCTTGTTTGCTTGGTGTACATTTCCCTGGGACCGGATGTGTTTTACATGCAATAAATTGTAAATTCCCAGAACCATGTAAGTTTTTATTTTTAATCAGTATCTAGTTTCTTTTTATCTGTGTTAGTTGTATAAATAGTTTGAAGCTAAATATGTTGATGCATTTAGTCGGGAGGAGACCTTTAGCCTAAATTTCATACTAATTGCTTGAAATCTTAAAAGAATTAGTGCTGTGTGTATGTTTTAAAAACACGTTACTCAGCTCCAAAGTATAAGCTCGAGAAATTTTGTTCTTTATCTCTCTCCATCATTGACTGTATCAAGGCACTTAGGGGAAAAATAAAGAAATTAGTTGGAAAGTGTAAATTACCATGTTTAATGAACTAGGATCTACCGTTTAATGCCTTAATGCATAAATATTCTTACATTGTAAGAGAAGGACCTAGAGTGCATTTATCTAGCTGTAGTGTTGAGTATTTTAAAAAATTTCATTTCTAATAATCATGTTTTTTAGTCAGTTTTTAGTTATATAGTTTATGTTTTTAATTACATAATTGTGGAGCGGACGACTATTTTGTTCATAATAATTCTAAGTAAAGCTTGGTAGATCAGTATAGTTCAACCAACTGATGTCGTTTTTTTGACACAGTAATAATCTAAAGAAAACAAGGAAGCCATTGACAATCTTAGGGTGTAAAACAAAGGTTACATTCTGTTTTCGGGTTTCTCAGTTGTAAACACATGCAAGCTTAAATTCTGTGACTTATTGTCAGTAGTAAACATCTTTTGCATAGTTACTTCAAACAGAAAAAGTGTTATTTGAGTTCCAGCTAATCTACCTTCATGTTTGATCGATTTTTGTCTTGGTAAATAATCAGTCATCACAAAATGGTTGTAACGTGTTGTGAATGATAGCGTGGTCGATTTAGTAATCAAGTCGGATCGATCTAAAGCATTACATCATTCTCGAACGTTTTCCACTAACTGTTTGTCTTGATGCACAAGTTAATTAGTGATTGAATATACCTTCTCTCCTTGATACTTTTATTTTACAATATTACGAGTTGTAGTTCATTGATTTAGTAAGTGATGAACATATTAACTAGATTTTTTAGCAAATAATCTAGATACCTTACTTTTAGGTTATACTACTAAGATTTTAAGCTACTCAATTGTATCTTCTCAGTAGTGATAATATCTCTACTTTGAATAATAATAAAGAAAATTCATCGAAGAAAATTTTCTTTTTGATGAATTCATTTACTTAAACTACACATTTGTATTTATAATTATATGGAATTAGACCGAAGGGAGGTCGAATGAAAATCTTATGCACTGCTGAGGTACTGGTAATCCACCAACTCAAGCCGAACTTCGCGTGCAAAAACAATATGTATAACCTCTCATCGTTCTTTGGCCCTAATTCCCTTTTATATAGTATGTTTAGATTTTTCTCCCATTTTTATTTCACTTTTTATTTTTATTTATTATTGTTTTTTATTAGTGTTTTGTAATTTTTAACCGTAACCAGTTATTATCTTTTGACAATTTTTCATGACTATTATTCAGTCCTTATTATTATGACCTTTGTGTTTTTCGTTTCACTTCATATCTGTCAAGTGGATAATTATCTTTCATAGTTCAAACCCGTGAATTATTTCCAGCCTTATATCCTTCTCTTACCCCTTGATTTTTGCATTACCTCATTTGATAATAAGAGTCTCGACTCAATTTATGACGCAATCTTTTCTATCCTTCTATAGACATATATTTCCATATAATTATAAATACAAATGTGTAGTTTAAGTAAATGATTTCATCGGAAAGAAAAAATTTCTTCGCTGAATTTTCTTTATTTTTATTCAATGACCTAATGGGTTATTTTAATTATCTCTCCTTTAATTTATTCATTCATTTGATCACAGTATTTGTTGATGAAACATGTCGAATAGAAGCTCTAGTGTCTAAATTACGTGGAAGACTAGCTACTTTTGATGTAAATGCTTATGCCTACGAAAGAAATGCGGTAAATTTTTACTTTATTTTTTCACATTATTTTGCGCTCAAGACAATAAAGTGAATTTTGAAGCTGTTCTAAATCATATATGAAGTTTTTTTTTTCGAATATTAAGCGAGTATTCATATAAATTATTTTGTATTAACTGTAATTTATTTTCTCCTTCATTGTGTGCTATGCAGTACTTGTTCAACCCGATGTTTTTCTATCGGTTGTTGAGGAAACAAATATCTTGAAGATGTCTATAAAAATTGTATTTAGGTAAATTTATACAAAATAGTATATATGTAGCGAACGGGACTTGGCGGGGATGATCAATTTATTGTTTATAGCAAAATTACAGTGTCCTTATAAATTCTGAAAACCACACATTTACTACTTCATTTGCACATCTTCCCTCAGTTGTCCTTTACATCGTTCATGATTGTTTCGATTCTGCTTTTATTCCAATTCTTTTCTAATTTTCTTTCGGTTCTCTTCAGTTCAATCTTCTGATGCCAGCCATCCCATTTCTGATTGGTGTTACATGCTACTTATATCTGTCGACATTAGTAACCTACACCACATATATAGTGAAATATTAATTTACTCTATACTTGAATTTGATAGATAAGGAGAATATGTTAACTTTTAAAGTTGATGTAAAAATGATTGGTTTGAAGTGTAAATAAAATTCTGAAATTCATATAATTTATTCAGTATTGAATGATTTAGAGTTATTTAATGTGAAAAACCTGTAGATAAAATTAATTCTAACTGTTGTTCAGAAAATGATTTAATTTATTTCAATCAAAGATTTGAAAACAACAAGAACACCAAGGTTTGTAGAATAAAATGAATTCGTTATTCTATTTCATGGTTTCGCATTAGCTGCATACAACCTACAAGAATTATGATTATTCATATAATTATTCCCAAATGTTTAGCATACTTTAGTTTCTGAAGTTTAGATAAATGTTCAAAACGTGACCTAAATTATAATCATTAAAGGAATAAGGATACAAAGTGGATACATATCGATCTTAACTGTGTTTATTCACACACTTTGCAAAGCTTTTTGTTGTTGCTCTGGTTTCTCAAGGAATCTGGTTGTACTGTGGTTTGAGCTACTAATGTCGACAGATATAAGTAGTATGTATTATCAACCGGAAGTGAAATGTATGGTGGAAGAAGGTTAAGAAGATCGAAGGAAAGAGAGCGAGAATAGAGAATGATTGATATGAAAACGAAAGAACAATGAAGTCTGTAACGATTGATTGACATTTTGCATATGAAGTATTTACTTTATGGTTCTCAGATTTACTAAGAAATTCTGTAATTGTGTTGAAATACATTTAGTTATCATCACTGGTGTTTTCGTTCACTACAGTATGAATAATGTTAAGTTACAATGATAACAAGGAATACATAATAGAGTGAAGAAATATTTTCAATAATTTATTTTTCAGGCTCTATTCTTCACATTAATAATCCTAGAATTATTTTTCTGTTTCATTAGATGAAAATTACTAAACTCTGTATAGTATAAAGGTTGCAGTTGAGTTAATTAGTGTGTTATAAACTCAAAATAATAGATTTCATTTTGATTTACTTTTAAACATTAAAGAGATATAATTAAAAATGTATCGTTGGGATAGTTAAACATATAATTATGTGCAAAATAATATGCGAAAGGGATTTTTGTGGATATTATAGTAATTTAATAGTTGAGATCATGTATCAATTGAAGCTAGATTATCATTGAAAACTTGGAAGCACTGGATGGCCGTTTCGTCCTATTGTGGCACTCCTCAGCATTTCGCATTCACGATCCCGCCTCACGAGATTCGAATCCAGGTTTTCCATGGTGGTCCAGCTTCAATTGACTCATGATACCAACTATTAAACTAAAATAATATGCCTTACAATGATAAATTATGATCAGTAGATGAAAATATATTCTATGAAAAATCGTATGTTAAAAATTGATTCAATGTAGGTTTTGTTGTTTCGTAATTATCTTAATGAGAGTAACAATAATCATTCATACATTCAGAAAGTATATCATTTAAAATGAAAGGGATGAATGTGTAGTTAAGAACGAGAAAAAAATGACATGTTAGGGAGTATAGATGAGAATAAAAGGAAAATCTGGTTATGTTCATGTGTTCTATTAAAATTGGTTTAAGAATACTATAACTTTATTGTTAACCAAAGTAAACTAATACATTAATGGGATCCTTTTTGAACATATAAGTCAGGTTTTTTAGAATTGATACCGATTTCTTCAGCTTTACAAAATAAGCGTTATCTTGAACTTCTTGATGAATTATTCTAAAATCGGTGTATAACTATCAAGTATCTTCTATTTTGATATCATATTCATAGTTAATTACATGGAAAAGAATGACACCATTAATAGATTTGTTAAATTTTTACTAACCATGTCAGCATGTGTTCACCAACGATCTAGAATAAGGGTCTTTAATTACGGCCAATATAACTAGCCTTACCTTAGTACTTACACTGCTAAAGACGCATAAGTGAGTCTACCGTTAGTATCTTAGCTTTGATTCACTCCTTCAGTATTGGTTTCATTGAGGAAGCGACGTGTAATTTCACAGGTTTAAAATTTGCTTTAATAAATCTACTTGGTCAATGTGTAAGAACTTTACTGGCTCTAATATTACTTTCGAAATCAAATTTTAGGTAGAGAGGTTTCTTTTCGTTTACCTCGTTTTTTGGTTCTTTTATGTATTTCTTTATGAATTATAAATTACTAATCATAAATTAATTTGTTTAAATTGATACTTAACAAAAAACCCTAAAAGTTATTGAATAATCTTTCTAGGATATTTGTAATGTGTAATTTTATGTCTACAAACTATTTTTTTATGTTTTATAGAATGTTCTCACTGGTTATTTCGATGTATTTCTAACACGTGAACAACTTTCTTTAAAGCCACCAGTTGATAATCAAATTGTCTATCATAGTAATTAATTCGTTAATGCATTAACCTTAAATGTACATATGTAAATATAATGCTAATAAATGAAATTATATATGTTAATGTTTATTTCGGAATAATAAAACCATATTCTTCTTAAAAAAGATCGTCTACTTTCTTTGACTGGTGGGAAAACCTGTCTGGTTGGTTGTCTTAGCTTCTGTTGGCTACATGTATCGGATTGGCTGTGTGTTCACACTGATCTTGTGTTAACTTATCATGATACTTTTTAAGATAAAAGTTAGTAATTTATCTATGCTGGAGTAATGAATCTCTCATTTATCACCATTCGCGGTTGAAAGCCAAATCAGTGATTATGAAAACAGTTTTTCTATGATTAAATGTATATCCAAAACACCATTTGATAAGAGCAATAGTTTCTACGATCCTAAAAGCCGGGATTTAATGAGTATCCCTACGTTTTAGTTCAAGGATAATTGTGCTGAACTATGATTTGAAGGCTAGACTACTGAACTGCTGACTAATGTGTCGAAATTCTTAGTCTCTTTAAATCTAGGGATAATAAGGTATTTACATTTTTCATTTTATTGTTGATATTATGGTTTGCTGGAAAAATTTAAATGGTGTTAATTTTTAAGAAGAACCCCGAAAATGATATTCGTTTACTAAAACAGACTCAACTAACCATCCTGACAATTAGATGGGACAGGTAATATGATAAAAATCTATATTGATTAAACACTTAGTGTTTAGACTACAGTAAATTTCTTTCAAAGGGAAAATTTCAACATAATTCTTTTTGTGTAATAAACAGTCGGTTATGAAATCAAGAGGGCAACAGTTAGAACTATATTTATTTGAACATATAAACATTGGTACATGGAGGCTACAAATATATATGTGCCACACTTCGCCATTCGATCTATGTGAGGGATGAGGTACTGTCCGGGCGCCAAAACCAAAACAGATGGTTTACTTACGAGACCTAAAGGTTTAATCCACCAGGCCTGGAGTAAGATTAGGAGATGCATTCCAATGGTAGCAGCTGATCAACAATAGGTTGATATGCCATTTGTTTCTTCATGATCCTGGAGCCACTGTGCACCACTGGTTTTTAATCGGAATTTTCGAACTCCCCTAGATGGATTCTCCGTACCCACCAACTTGGTCGAAGCACCAGACATTTACTTTTCGTAAACAGCACCCTTCGCGAGATCAGCAAACACATTTGTTTATCGAGATGTTCAGTATAAATAAGGTTTTAGAAAAGCAAACTCACTGAAATTAAGAGCGAATACTCTTTTATGGTAGACTTGATATATTAATTGGGAATTGTGTGATGAACATGAGTTTTATCATTCTCTAAATAAAAGTATGCACTTCTTGCCTTGAAAATCAGATAAGAATACTAGAATTATGTAGTCGAATAACGGTTGATACGCTAGATAATCAACCAAAATTATTTTGTCTGTATGTTGAAGGTGTAGTCGAATGGCACAACTCCAGTTAGATCATCCAAGTCTTTATTCTATAATTAAGGTCATCTCATACACACTGAAACATAACGTCAATTCAAATCATTGTAAAATAAGAATATCAGTGTTTATTAAACTCTTGATGTATTTAACGTATACGAATACTATCGTATCACAACTACTTCACACATCAAGCTAGAAAATGAATAAGTTCGTAACACTAGCATTGCAAGTCGTAAAAGATATGTAGACAACCAATGATGTAACATAGAACTGCTCTAACATGTATAATAATTGAGTATTGTCATGTGATACTACTTTCACTGTCCAGACAGATGTTTTAATTCTTTTGTCGAAAGGTGAATGTAGGTTTTCATCTATTTGTTTTGTGATTTATACGCAAACAGATGGATTATTATAAATGTGTTTTTGAAGATTGTTAAGTTTCATAGTTTAGATGACGGATTGATTTCAGTCAGACAACAGATGAGAATTATGATGCTCCAGACAGCTGTTTTGTCCTTGTATGTGACTACGCAACAACATGTATCCACGATCTTACAGACGATCGAATCCATGGACTTCAAGTCTCACTGTGAGCGACTAACTTTTAGACTACTTAGCTATAATATAATTGTTTACATGTCTAACTCAGAAGAAACAAATATCCAATACTTTCTGATTTTTACTGGTTGCTCACAATCAGTCCGTAATGCAAACTATGGGATTAATTTAGAGCTAACTTGTGATTTTTTATGTATATTTATTCATTTGTCATGGTAAAATACACTCAACATTTTCATGGAATTTTCTATGGATAATTTAAGAAGCATAGCAGCACGGATAAGGATTACTACTCCCTTTATAAATAATGATCATCAATTATTTTTAGCAATAAGGATAGTTAGCACGTTGTTATTTCATAACTCGGGGTTATTATAAATGGCTGCATACAAAACCAATTTCATTGTAATCGAATCATGCGAAAATTTAATTTTCGGAACGATGGTTGTGTTGAATAGGATTGGCTAGTGGCAGTCAAACTCCACCTGGAGCGCCCGCAGAGTTACTACCAGCCGTTGACCCGAGGAAAGAATGAGGTTTTGGGGTAGGGTTAGTAAACTCACACTGTAAAAACCCTTGCTATAAAACGCCAGCTAGAGAGAAGCATTTAAACCTTTAAAGCTGTTCACTGGACATTGAAGACTCATTGTGTTGAAGAGTTACGACACCTCAAACTGAAAGTCAAGATTCCTCGGAAACTGCCAGGCTAGTGCCCATTTCGATAACCAGAGTCGCATTTGATGTAACTACGTGAATTCTTCAGACAATGTTGGTGATTGAGAGGATCATTCGAACAGTGGTGAAAATGAAAAGATACAACCACATGAAAACTGGCGTCAGACAAGATGCCTAC